GGAAAATTCGTCATCTCGAGGAACAACACTGAGGTGAAAGCCGAACGTGTTGTCGAGTTGTTTGGATTTGACGCTGAAGTGGTGAGATTTTCTACCCGGAAGTTGAAGGACGCTTTCGGAGACAGTATCCGAAGAGTCAACAATTTATTCAACATCGGATACGGTTTCGAGCCTCGGAGGGTCGCCGCTCACACCCCGCACCTTATCGACAAACACGTGATGATGGATTTGCAGGAAAAGTAAGCGACGTTTTTTCTTCTATTTTCTTCGTAGTTGAATCGGAGAAATTTTTTTTTTTAATTCTAAATACTGTATATTTCTTGATGCTGGGAATTAAGAATTCTACCAAAAACATGTTCGATCATTTAAAATGTTAGGAATACTTCTTCGCGGGAACTCATGGAGAGGAATTTGTGTCAAATTAGTTTTCCTTTTTCCTATGGATGGAATGCACTTTCATTTTTTTCAACATTGGCTTGAAAAATGAGAACGCTGGTCAGGAAATCGCGTGAGTATTCTCTGGTCTAGAAAATAGTAATCCATGTCCATCCACTCCCAAAAATTTCCGAAATTGCGGAACCTATTCTGGTGTCATGGAAAAACCCTTTGAAAAAATGATTCAACTGCATGGTGATCAAAAAACTGTTGAACCAAAGATTGGGAGACTTTCACTCAGAACCCCCTCGGGGGTTTATTTAGTTCTTGCCCAATTAACAGGAAATCTGTTTCCTGCATGAACTTGTGAAGCTTGAAGGCCAGCGGAAATCGAGCCTCCAAGGCCTAAAAGTTTGGGGAACCAATCGGCGCACAGATAGTCCCTTGTAATTGGGGACAGGCAGGCTACCCTGCTGAGTGATGTGTTTCATTTGCCCTTCATAAAATGTCTTCTACAAAACGCAATATCAGTTTCTTTTGTCATAAGATTCAAACATTCTGTCACATCTGGTGTGTGTACGTGCGTCTATTTTCCCGTCGTTGCTAAAATTCGAAAAGTCAGTGTGCAGGTATAATGATAACTTTGTTGATACGGGGGCCCCGAGATGCGGACGTAATTGGTGATTGGACCTTATCGATATGTCGGATCACTTTTTCCTCGCAGAATCTGATACTTCGGCATGAAAACGTGTCCGAAGAGCATAAAACCAGCTCAAGTCTTGCTATACTCCGCACAGATGATGGAAATTAAACTCGAAAAGCACAAAATTCGCCTATATTTTAAATCAAAATTTCAAATAAAAAAAACTGTACATTGGCTGAATTTTCAAGAGATACCGGTATTACCATTTTTGAAAATAAAGCTTCTTCGATTTTCTAAAAATTTGGGCAAATAATCCGAATTTCGGATGAAAGGATATACTGTGTACAGTATTTTTAAATTCTATTGTTTTTCAGTCGAATCGCTCGGATGTCGGTGGCCCTCTTATCAGTGATTTTCTCTCATTTCTTCGTCAGGTTCAAGAGAGAGTTCGAGGCAACCTCGTCGTACCAAGTCAGAACCGGAGTCGACATGCAATACGCTTTTTCCTACTACTACTTCCTCATGAGCGAGCGCAAAGATTTCGTAGCTGCGGAAGTGTTCGATGAATTCGACACGGACGGATCCGGAACTTGGTCGGATCGGGAAATTCGAACCCTGTTGACTCGAATCGTTGAACTTCCGCTCACGTTCGAAGTCCTCACTGGATTCGAACAGGACCTGAGGAGTTGCGCGAATTCCTTGCCGAAAGAGTTTTCCTCTGGGATTTCCACTCCTGCTTTTGAACGATATGTGGATTCTGATCTTGTAAGTCCTTTCTTTTTTATTTTTGTAAGCGTGCTGAATTTATGGAGGGAATTTTCAATTAGTTATTTGAAGAAACGAGTCACCAAAGTTGTATTGAGGGGATTATACTGGAAGTCGTATATTTTCGTGTCAATGATGATTATAGTGAATTCGTGTCAATCATGAATGAAGTCCAAAATTAAACAAAAAATATCTCTGTTTCAGTTGTTGAAGCTTCGTACTCAGAGCTAAAATTGTCGTTGAACAAGAATCACCTTGTGTCTAAAATCGAAAATTTTTAATATCCTTTTGACCTTAAATTCATAAACTTGAAATCGTGTCAATTTCCTCGGATCTTTCGGCCTGGAAATGTATCGAAACAAATTTTCTGAAGTTATTCTGGGTTCATCGAAAGAAGATTTTAAAAGTAAATTCTTGAATCATCGATGGATTTCGCTTGTTTTTCTACGTCTCTCTCAACTTCGTCGTTCAAATGCAATAAAAAAGAAAATCCCATGCATTGACATGAAATGTTCTGCTTGGAAAAACGAACAATCTCTTTTTCGCAGTTGAGTAGGAGTGATTCTGATCTGATCGCTTTTTTTCAAGTTCAATGTTTTTTTTTTAAATGCGGTTTTGAATTCAAGCAGGAATTAGTTGAGTCAAAAATAATTGGCTTAACCATCTAAAATCGAAAGAAATGATAGGGTGTTAGTTTTCGGTCAATTCCGAGGACTTCTATTGTTACTACGGTTTTACTGTATGTGTATTTTTGTTTTTCTCTTGAAGTGCAGATTTGATTAATGATTTTCTTTCCCCCTATTGTTCAGCCTGTGATTAGCAAGAAATTGGTGCTTGCCTGTGAGGTGGTCCTGGCCAAGTTGAAGGCGAAATTTGGTTCAAGAAAACATTACAAGTTCGAAGTGGCGACCGGGAAATTCCATCACTTTACCATGCTCGTGTCGAACGTGACGACAGCGTTGAGTGAACTCGACGACATCCGCAGAGATCCGAGGTGACAAGGAGAAAAATAGAAATTCCGTGTCCTAGTTTCTTGAATTGACATAGAAAAAGTCGGACTTTAAGGGAACAGCAAAAAAATCGTATTCGATTTGCGAAGGTTCGACTTATCGAGGTTCTGACGATGTATACCGTATTCTTGTAGGAAATTTTTGTGCTTGAACGACGACTTGGATGAGGCCAGTCCGGACTCGGACACCGTGGCGGCGTTGCGAGCGGATTTTTTCGAGTCCTTGCTTCCGGTTCGGTCGTCGTTCGAGTTGCCTGAGAATTATCGGAACCGGTTTCTCAGGGTGGAGGAGCTGGACGAGTGGCGGCTCTGGCGGCGCCACGTCCGCCTCGTCACCTATTTCTGCTTCTTTGCCCTGGTCGTCTTCACCGTAGCGAGTTTTTTCCATTTGCAAGTGAGTTGTAACTGTAGCTCGAAATTTTTTTTGGTAGTGTTGAAAATTTCCGCGTTTTGGCCGCCATTTTACTGAAGCATAGAGGAAATCAATAATATTTCTTGTGGGCTATGGAAGAGGGCTTGATTCTCTGTACTGTATTGAATTTCCAGTTGCATTTTATTCAACTTTCGTAGGAATGTATTACTCAGAAAAAGAAGATCGGTGAAAAAATGTATTGGGGTAATTTTACTGCATTTTCTGAGCATTTATAATTGAAATTTGAAAGGTATTTTAGGAGTTGCGCAAGGTTTCTTGGATCATGTAAGACTCCAAATAGCTGGACAATTGAACGTGTGATATGCTTTTCTAAAACAAATTTCAGTTTTTATGTTATCATTACTGTATGATAATATAATAGCTTTCATCAAATGTTCCACGTGCCCGTTTATTTTTGAGGCCCACCCGGGAGAGCAAAATATTATTTCAGAATGGATTTGTAATTTTATATACGTTATATTTTCTTCGAGCAGAAAATTGAGATTTAGTATTTTAAAATCATCAAATACACCTTATCCCTCTACAGCGATCTTCAATGATGCTCTCTGTACAGGTGGACTCCAACAACCTTGTGTACTACGATTTTCTGTGTACATTATTACGAATTTTGTACGGACCCCATCAGGTTCTCTCTCCCCATGTTAGGGGTTATTTAAAACTTAACAACTAATTTTTTCATTGTCCCTTGAAATTCGTTGCCGAGAGAGTCCATTCCGTATTTTCAGAAAAGGTTTGTAATACAGTATAGCGAGTGTTCTTTGTGCAACTCCAATTCGCCCAGTATGTCTGCGGTGATGCACAAGACCCCGAGACATGCAGTAATATTTTCTGCCAAATAAGCCATTTTATTTCAATGGCTTTCCTGGTACCTCTTGAGACATTTTTATGAGTTATTTTTGTGCGAATATGTATGCCGATTGTTTGTTTTATTCAGGTGAACAGGATCTGGAGGCGGTTTCGGACCTCGAGGGGTCTTCCTCACCAAACGGTTTAATTTATTTATTCGAACAGTATTCTGATCTCGGTTCAGTGATAATTTTCGCACGCAAGGTTGCTCGGGGTTTTCTCGATCATTTGAAGACGAAAAAATCTGTATACGTATAGCTGAAGGAAAAAAAAAGGAATTTGTGCAAATCGGGTTGTAGGGGAACGTTGTCCTCGGAAGTCGAAAAAAGACGCCTCGTCAAGAAAAGTGCCACATTACGTCGCTGTGATTTTTATTGAACAAAAGAAAGAGGCTTCTAAAAAAAAGCATTCGGTGGAAAAAAAATGAAATTTTTGTCTGTTTTTGGCTTGGTTAGGGCGATTGTGTTATTCCCGAAGGTTGTTTGTCGCAGTGGTCAATAAATCTTCGCAACATTTCTGTGCCATTTTTCCTCTCTCTCCAACCTGCTCATTTACGGTACATCAGTTATTTGTCGTATTTAAGAAGGGGTGACTTAGTTGTGAACTAGTGACATCTGCATACCGATCGGCGCTTGTGTGAGACGACGACGCGACAACTACCTGAGGTACTGTAAATGCTATGAGAGAAGAAGAAGCTCTGGTCCTCCTCTTCATACTCCACGTTGCGATTAGGCACCTTAGAGATGTAGTACAGTTGCCCACGGTTACAGGTCGTCGCGAAGAGAGTATAGTGATAACGCCTCCCGCGAGACCACCAGTCCTCTACCCATATCTAGGACCCAGGAGGCCTGTGGACGGATCAATAAGGCGAAGGGATCTTGACGCACATCTGAGAGCCACTGGACGCTACACAATCTATCTGAATCGCAATGGAGGTCGACCAGGACGAACCCCGCCAGGAAATGCGGAACCCAGAGCAAGCCATCGTCAGGAGGGTTCTCAGGGCCGTGGATGTGTTCTCTAACACTGTGGCACGCGATATAAGGGAAGATGATCAGGAGTTTATCGCGCCCTGGAACGCTCCTAGGGTTGTGGATCTCTACCCTCAGCGCGGTCGGTTCTTTGGGTATGAAGACCTTTCTGCCATAATCTATCACAAGGACAATTGGCTCACTAAACTGATCACTATTCGTCACCCGGAAGTCATCACGGACTTGGATAAGTTTCGGCTATACACTTCTCTACTCCTGTTTTGCCGTGCCCAAGATGATGCCTGGATTCAGTTCTGCGCCGCATTCCAAGTCATGGCCGGGAGGGTTACTCATAGGCCCGGGATCGTGGAGGAAGTCCATGCTTGGCCCGCGGCCCTCCAGTTGTTCGACATTGAGGGACTGACGTTTGAGCAATATGCCGGACGAGTTCCTGAACTCGGATCGTCCTGGAGGGCTTCTAACAAGGATGCGTGACAATGCTCACTTTGTTGATGGGCTCCTCCGATGTTTCGCGCTGACTGCGTATTGCGGTGGCTCGGTTACCGAGCGAAGAATCGAGAAGGTCTTCCGGGAGTGTGGAGATTTCCCGATCCCAACGGTCGAGCACATACTGACGATTCATGACCTAACCTTTGCTCACGTCAGGGACGCTCGTTTTTACTGCCAGATGGCTCATGCGGTGGAGATCCCTGGATTTTTCCCGATACAACTCCAAAATGTGTATCTCCAGGCGCAGTACACGAGGATGACAGCCATCAACATCATGATGCTAGCTCATAATGCGTATCAATACGCACCATGGGCCCTTTTGCACTGCCAGTTCTCGGGTGAGTCGACCAATATGATGAATGCCCTCAAGCTTATATCAAGATACGGAATTGTCGGCCCATTTATCGGATATGGCCAAGAGGTTGAGCAAGTGAAGGTAACGTTGTATCCGCATATTGCATTCGCATGTGCTGCGATATTCGCGGGCGACACTTGGCGACATTATGCCGGGAACTGGCTGGCGAACTCACCGATTATACAAAGAAATAACGTGTACAAATGGATTTACATCACAAGGAAGGTTCTAGGGACGCAAGCATTCAAGATCTGTGACGCGGACCGTGGAGCGAAGGCAGTTATGTCATGCATGGCAATTGTTCAGAAGGCCATGCCGGGTGATATGACCTTGAGTCTGGACGAATATGTCGATCGTCACTTTGCAACTGCTGCAGCTCGTGAGGAGATTCGGGTTGGTTTTCTTACAGCTGGGGCAGAGTTCGACCGCCGAAACTAACTTGTTACTCTCCCATATTCTTCTCTTTTAGAAAAAAAAAAAACATGCGAAAATCCCTCCCAATTAATTTTAGATGGATTGTCGCAGTTGCGACAATCTAGTGATTGGTTTTGATGTACCGCACACTGGTGATGAAAACTAGGAGGTTTTTTTGTTTTAGTTATTTAGAATTTTATAATTTTAGCTTGAAAACACAATCATGTACACTTGAATAGGGACAACGCGAATTTCTCGAGGGAAACACAGTGGGTTAATTCCAGCACAAGCAGGAATTTCCACTGCTAGCTATGTTCTATAATCCGCGAGGTAAATTAAAACCAATCACTAGATTGTCACAACTGCGACAATCCATCTAAAAATAATTGGGAGGGATTTTCGCATCGGGTTGTAGGGGAACGTTGTCCTCGGAAGTCGCAAAAAGACACCTCGTCAAGAAAAGTGCCACATTACGTCGCTGGGATTTTTATTGAACAAAAGAAAGAGGCTTCTAAAAAAAAGCATTCGGTGGAAAAAAAATGAAATTTTTGTCTGTTTTTGGCTTGGTTAGGGCAATTGTGTTATTCCTGAAGGTTGTTTGTCGCAGTGGTCAATAGATCTTTGCAACATTTCTGTGCCATTTTTCCTCTCTCTCCAACCTGCTCTGAAAATTTCCAAAATTCTTTTCATCGCTTGCGTCGTTTTTTTCTTTTAGGTAATGCTGTTGAATTTCTTGGTGTTGTTGAGAATGTGTGGAAGCAGTGTTGCCATGCACAAGAATTGCAGGAATAGAGTATACCCCGGAAAATCTAGGGTGGAAAGGCTTCCTGTGCCAGATCATCTGGTGAGTTGGAGTGCCCCCTGGCCAGTTTATCATCCCAATGTGTACAATGATGCTTCTTTGGAAGGAAAGCCATGGGCTGATCCTGATATAAGGTGAGCAGGTTATTATCTGTGTCTCTTTCCGAAAGTTCATGATTTACTTGAGTACCATGTCTTTTTTTCAAAATTCAAGAGGAAAAAGGAGGGTGTGTATATCAAAAAGAAACATATACGAGGGTTCTAACAAAAGTTCTTGGAGTAGCAATGAAAATGGCTCACAATTTAGCTGAAACATTTTTTTTTTCTCTTGGGGAAAACATATTCTTTGGCACACAAAAAATATCAGCCCTGTTTGAATAAACATTTTTTGAATTTTTTTCATAATTCACCCTGGCTGAGTTTTGCTCTCCACTCAAAAGATGAGGCGCCCTTTTTTTGTTGTAGCCCAGCTTCCACCTCAGAATTTTTGAAATCAACTTGGCATTATTTCTAAGGGTTGCCTCCAGATCTTCCAAGGCAATTCCTCCATTTTCATCAAGAGCCGCCTTCACAAAACCCGCCACATTGGCCAAATGGGGCAGAAAGAATATGTTTTCCCTAAAGAAAAAATTTTTTCAGCTCAATTGTAAGCCATTTTCTTTGCTACTCCAACAACTTTTGTTAGAACCCTAGTATACAGTGAAATCTTGTTACCATTACAATAAATGGCAAGCATGACAAACTTTTTTGCAAGTCCTGTCAAAGATCCTATAGATATGTTGGAATAATCTCCTTGCAACAAGCTTCCCAATTTCAGTACACCAAACTTTTTGAGTAATAAAAGAGGGTGTGTAGAAAAGATTGATTAAAAATGTTGAAAGGGTTAGCTGCAGTTCAGATGCCAATCATATACTTTATTCTGATGGCAAGTTTTTGAGCGATTTTATAAAAAGAAAATTAATGAAAGCATTCAAATATTAATAAAATTGAGGCTCACTTCAAGTCAAAATTTCGAATGGGAATCATTTTCAGAAGAGTGATACCAAAGTCACTAAGAAATGGGGTGTGTGTCTCACTCAGGGTTAGTTTTTTTTCAAGTAGTAAATTCTAGGCTGAAAATCCAGTTGCAAGTCTTACCTGAAAGGTTGGGATACTTGGGTAAATACTGTAGTCCGAGTGAAAATGTTCAGTACTACAGTATATTCTAATTTAATTCTCAACACAGTTTTATCTAACCTACTAAGTACTCAAAAAATATCAGCCCTGTTTGAATAAAATTTTTTTTAATTTTTTCATAATTCACCCTGGCTGAGTTTTGCTCTCCACTCAAAAGATGAGGCGCTTTTTTTTGTTGTAGAAGCATTAAAAAACCTAGAATAAGAATCTACTCAAGCTGCGTTGTTCTTCTTGAAAACCTTGGTTTCCATCTAAAAATGTCAACTCAAACATATGAATGACATAAGTTCTGCAGCATGTGCACAGCTAAAGCAAAAAGGGTATTCTTTCGGGTTAATTTGTTGTGACATCAGGTCATTCGGGCTAGGTTTTCAAGGTTATCATTATTTTCACTCTGTGAGACATTCCCTTTGGGATTCATTTGCGAATTATCTTTACAGGGAAAAAGGAAAGGGTTCAGAGTACAAGTGGAATTCCATGGACGGAAATGTCAACCGCGTTTCGCATGAAGGTCCGTACAGTATCGAGAGAAATCGACCCTTGTGAGTTTGAATTGTTCCACCGTGATACTTTCATTAATATGAGAAAGTTTATTTTTAAATTGAATATAATCGAATCTTTTTGCAATGAATCTCGTTGTAACGAATGATTACTTACAACGAATTCGTTTTCGAAGTCCATGCCCTGTATAGCCACAATTCCATGAGACCTTTTTATAATAAATCGTATGTTAAATTGAAACTATTTTATTAGTCCCAATCGCTGTGTTGTGACAATATTTCATGCGTTAGAATTTTTTAAATGTTGACATTTTTAAAGTATGAAAGTTATGAAGTGTCAGAAGTGTTACAAAATTTTAAAAAATATTGAAAAATGAAAATTATCAAAATTGGAACACAGTATCACAATATTTTATTCTATGAAATACGTTTTCATGTACTGTACAGTATTGCAATTGTTGAAGTATGCAAATATGAAAAGCCTTACCATCTGAATATCATGAACATACAGTATTAGATTTAAATATAAATATTATAAAAATATGGTTATCATCAAAAGATATGATCATCAAAACGTGGAATTTTTCAAAATTGGGAAAGAAATCGAAATATGAAAATTTTACAATTATTAAAATCCAAAAATTTTTAAAATCATTAGAATACGAAGTAAGAAATGTTCCTGTTCAAGTATACATGATACAATTGAAAAATATGAACGTTATCAAAAGCGCAATGTCAAAACTATTAGAATACTGTACATTACTTGTTAATATTAGATTGATTTGTTACATTTAATAAATCATTTAATTCATAAAGTTTTTTTTAAATTGAACTCGTTTATTATATAGGAACCCCAGAGGAAGAACGGGATTGGAAGGACGAGGCCTGTTGGGTCGTTGGGGACCGAATCATGCTGCTGATCCCATTGTGACCCGCTGGCAAAGGGACAGCAATGGCGGAATAGTTACTCATGCCTTGTCCTCCGAACCCATCTTGGAATTTGTGGCCATACTCAGGCGGGATTGTCAAGAGTGGGCCATACCAGGGGTAAGCAGCAGCCTCGGAACACGCTTCAGTGGGATTTATTCACGGGTTTCGATAAGAATCACAATTTCCTATGTCGCGCATCAATCGCGAGACTTTTCGAATTTGATGATACAGTCGAACCTCTTCAAATACAACTTCATAGAGCTAGCGAAAAAAAAAATCCAGTTAATAGGGAAATGAGCATTTTTTTGTTGGGGAACGAAAGAAGAGTTACAGTAGATTACAGTGCAGGATATTTTTATTTGGTGGTATTCTAGGCCTTAAATTTATTCAAGTTAGTTGACAGGATGCTGAACTTCGATCGGAGAGTCCATTTGCCCAATTATAGTCTTTACCTTTCTGTCAAAACACGTCATGAATTTTTATTTTTTGCTTTTCCTTCTCCTGCGTCAATAAAATATTTGCCAAAAGGACTTCAGAAAATTCGAATTATGGAGATTTGAAAAGGGAAAGCCTTTGCATTAGGGAGGTTTTCAATGCATTGTTTCTGCGGGAATTTGGACAGGGACTTGAAAACAAATTTTGCACGAGGGGGTATTTGAGTTATCGATGTTCGATTGTTATAAATATGTAACTTAATTTAAATTTTGATTGAATTCGATACTTTCATCCTTCCTGTTTGTGTTCATTTTCTTTGGTTTTCCTGGTAAGAAACGATACGTTCATCATAATTTTTAATGGCGTTATGAAATAATCCATTCGAATTATGTTATGTAAATGGTGATGGAAGATAAAAAAAAAGAATTTAGTCTTCGAAGAATGGCTCCACCTAAAATATATTTTGTTTTTGCGACGTTCTATTTAGGGAATGGTTGATCCCGGAGAAATGGTGAGCAAAACGCTCATGCGTGAATTCATGGAAGAAGCCCTGGGATCAGATGACGCAAACCCTGAAGCGGTTTCTAAAATGTCCGAGAACTTGGAAGAATTCTTTTCTTCTTCAAAACGAGAGGTTCGTTGAAATTTTATCGGCAATATGTGCCAAAAAAATGCCCCGCGAAATGAAAGTAACCTTCTGTTGATGGATGCGATGTGTTTTGCATAATTTTTGTTGCGCGAAAAAATATTTTCCCCTACCGTAAACTTTGAAAACATTTAATCCGTTTCACAACTGTTCCATGCTTTCACGAAAAATATCCTGAAGAAGTTTAAGAACTTGTATTTTTGCACGTTTTTACCAGAAAATTGTAAATTGACAACTGATTTGTATATGTGAATGAAATAATCCTGAGAAGTATGTGCTGTCATCTTCCTGGAATACTCGAATTTCGAAGACGATAAGATGCCGAAGTATATAATCTTGTTTTTCAATTTTTTCGATTGCTTAAGAAATTCTGAAGTTTCATCCCAAACATAGATAAAATTGAAGCATCTTTTTGGCCAAACAATTTTGTATTGGAAACATGTTGGAATTTGAAATGGTCCCACGGAAGTGGAGCGACATCTGTTGAATGCCAAATCACGGTGTTTCAGGTTTACCTCGGATACGTGGATGATCCCAGAAACACGGACAACGCATGGATGGAGACAGAAGCGTGGAATTTCCACGACGAAAACAATTCCGTGGTGGGGAAAATGAACTTCCAAGCGGGTTCGGACGCGTCCCAAGTCGAATGGGTTCCGATTTCCAGAGAATTGAAACTCTATGCGTCCCATTCCCACTTCATTGAGCTTGTTGCCAAGATGAGAGGTGCGCATTTTTGAAAGAAAGAAGCAAAATGAAAAGAAGGGAAAGAAAGTTAAAAGAGAATGTGTGAATGTTTAAACCGTCCGAAATCATGAATAAAGAGGGGCATTTCAATGGGGGTTTTTTGTTGTTGTTTCAGCGGTACATTAATTGTGTTCTTGTCTGTGGAATAAATGCACTCTATACGTATTTGACTTCGTTTTCATTCAAATTTTGGGCTTTTATGAATGTAGAATTTATCATCCAAAGTGTGTCATCCTATGGTAATGTAATGTAAATCTCATTTGACTGCACATCCAAATTCAACAGAGCTGCGCCATATAGAGAACAGAGCTGCGCTGTTCTCTGTATTGTAGAGTAATGGCACAGCTCTGTTCTCTATATGGCGCAGCTCTGTATAAGAACAGTGCAGCTCTGCTCTCTATATGGCACAGCTCAGTATATGAGAACAGCTCTGTATGAGAACAGTACAGCTCTTAAAAAAATACATGTAAGAACTACTCAGTTGTCTATGTTGTGCAGCTCTGTAATATATACAGAGAAATGGCACATTATATATACACTACACAGCATTTAAAAATACTTTTGTTTAAAAAAATTGAAACTAGAAAATTTGAAATCCCATATAAACAATCTATCCGAAAAAAAAAGTTTAAGGAAATTTCAATTAACATTGACATATAGAGAACCAAATAGAGAACAGAGTATTTTTCACATATATTTTTTTATAGAGCTGTGCTGTTCTCATACAGAGCTGCGCCATATAGAGAACATGCAGAGCTGCGCCATTTCTCTATAATGCAGAGAACAGCACAGCTCTGTTCTCTATATGGCCATATAGAGAACATGCAGAGCTGCGCCATTTCTCTATAATGCAGAGAACAGCACAGCTCTGTTCTCTATATGGCGCAGCTCTGTATATGAGAACAGCGCAGCTCTGTTCTCTAAATGGTGCAGCTCAGTATATGAGAACAGCGCAGCTCTGTTCTCTACATGGCGCACCAGTCCTGGAAAATTTCCCCCAACACATTCAACAAATTTTGAAAATCACCCGTTTCCAACCATCCATGAAAAACGGGTGATTTACGGGTGTTTTGCGCCTGTGTATTTTATGACTGGCAGGAAAATGGCTGAGGAAAAATCACCCATTTTTGAAAAAACCACCTGTACCCAGCAAATAATTTTGACATTGGGAATCGCGTTGGCAGGGCAATGTGATGCCGTTTTGGCAAGGACGTTGTGAAAACGTCATCTTGGTCGCCACTCAACGTCTAGTCCCCCACCGTTGAGGGCAGACATTGACCAATGGGTTCAGATCCTGCTGTGAATGCCATTGAGAACCATTACATAATGTTGGCAGGGGGCGTTTTGAAACGGGCTTGGAAGCCATTGCCAACGGGAGTGAGACCATTGAGCCTGAGAGGCCTACCATTCAATTGCCATTGGCAAATGGATT